AATTGGTATTCGGGGGCATAATGAACAAGACCATAGTTTGTTAAATAACAGAGGGAATTTTATAGAATTATTGCATATGAGGGCCAAAGATAATGACATAATTAAACAATATTTTATTGACAAAGAAAGAAGATTTCGTTATATCCATCCAGAATTTCAAAACATTTTTTTATCGTTAATGGCTAAGAATGTTCAACAAAGTTTAATATCCAATATAAAAGAAGCAGGTATATACAGCATATTGGTTGATGAGACACAGGACATCAGCAGGCATGAACAAGTATCCATTTGTGTTAGGTATGTCACAGAAAGTTTTGAACCAACTGAAGTTTTTCTGGGTTTTTTTAAAACTCATAGAACCAATGCTGAATCTCTGGTAGCTTTGATAAAAGAAGTTTTAAAAAATAATGACTTGAACATTCAAAATATCAGAGGTCAGTGTTATGATGGTGCTGCTTCTATGCGTGGATCTTATACCGGTGTACAAGCTAGAATTAAAAATGAAAATCCACATGCAATATATGTACATTGCTATGCGCATATTTTAAATTTATGTTTAGTCGATTTAACTAAACAAGTTAAACAAATAAGAAATATGTTTGGTGTTTTGAATACATTACATAATTTTATTGGCGCGTCATCAAAAAGATTTTCCATTTTTGAATCAATGAGAGCAACATGTTCAGATAGTAAAGGACCAAAAACATTAAAATCATTATCTGATACTCGATGGAATTGCCGAATAGAAGCTATTAAAGCAGTGTTTGAAAATTTATCAGCGTTATTTCATTCACTACACAAAATTGCAGATGATGATACTTTTGCAGGTCCTGAAGCTAGTTCCTTACTTAAATCAATTGAAACCTTTGATTTTATTTTTTGTCTAAATTTACTAAAATTTGTTTTTAATGAAACTAATATTTTATCAAAATACCTTCAAACGCCATCAATTAATTATTCATCGGTGCGTTTGATGGCACAGCAAACAATTAACACATTTAAAGATAGTCGAACTCAAGATAAATTTAATAGTTTATGGATAGAAACCCAAGATATTGTTGAGAAGTATGACTTAGAAGAAGCAAAATTACCCAGAGAAAGAAAAATTCCTTTGAAAATAGGTGGAGGAAGGTCTCAACAAAATTCAATAAATGTAAAGGATTATTATTTAATAAATATTTTTTATGTTGTTTTAGATATAATTATAGCCGATATAGAAGAAAGATTTAAAGAAAATAACTTAACTCTTTTAAATGCTATGAATGATGTATTAACTAGTGATTTACCAGATGTTGCTTCATATAATCTATTAAGTAATACATATGATATTAATAATTCTGAATTACAGAGTGAAGTTAATATATTAAATAGAATGTTTAAACAGTCACAAAATGATATGAAAGAAACCGCACTTAACTGTCGAATATCTTATATTCTATCCAACAATATTCAAGTTGGATTCCCATTGTATGTGCAAATTTTAAAATTATTTTTAACATTACCTACAAATACAGCAACATGTGAAAGAAGTTTTTCTACTTTAAAACGTATAAAAACCTATCTCAGATCTACTACTGGCCAAGATCGCTTAAATAGCTTAGCAATACTCTATATACACAGAAACCAAGAAGTTGACAAGGATAAAGTTATAAAAGAATTTGATGCCACCGAAAATGGACGTCGCATGATTCTTCACTAAATTAAAAAAACAATTGAACTTGTATATAAAATTGTGTATTTTAAAAATTAAAAATTGATGAATTAAAATAAATAAATGTTTTAACTAAAAAATAATAAATAAATTCAATGTGGAGGGGTTGAGGGGTTGATAAAGCTAATTAGCCATCTATTATGGGTTTTCCAATGTTGCTACCCTATGGTTTTATTCCAAATGACGCCCCTGAGAGTAAGAATAGGTAAATGATATAATTTTACTTGCTAACTTTATAGTTTATACTGTTTATTAATGTTGACGTAAGAGGAAATGATATTTTAGACATCCACATGAATAATACGCATTATATAATAGAACAAATCGAATTTATTACGATACAAAGATATTAATATATTATGTATACAAACGTAGATAGTAGATACGTCAAACTTAGCTATCATTAATCGAAAAATTAATTATTATAGTTGTTTATTTTTGATATTCGAGCATCGATAATATTTATTCATAAATTTTACATTTTATACATTATTTAGTTTTAGCACAATGGTTGAATGGTTCGTACAACAAAATAGATATGTGTATACTGTATACGGGTATTGACGAGTTTATACAGAGACCAATAGGCCGTATTGGAGTATACAAATATTACAAATACTCATTAATACTGTGCAGTGTGCAGCCGCCAGGGCGCTTGCCAGTATTATAATATACGCTTATATACTAAATTTATTAATTATTATTTTTATCACATGATTAATATTATTTTATTCGGGGTGTCTTATTACGATTTAAATTGTAGTTTGCACATTATTATTCATAAACTGTTATTTAGGGTGACCATTATATTTATTGTTTTTGCGTTTCTGCAGGTTGCCATAATATTATTATACTTATTACTAGGCAGTGTTTAGAAAGAACGTCGTTCATGAACGCACGTTCACGCGTTCACGTTCATAAATAGTGAACGATACGTGAACGTCACTCGTATTTTTAAAATAGAACTTGAACGTGAACGACGTTTATATTTTTAATGAACTTGGTCGATTATTAAGACGTTTAATTAATTTACCATTTAATAAATATATTTTTAAAATATTTTAATCAATCATATTATAATAATATTTTCCATTATAGTTCCTATGATATATATAAACGCGTTCATTTTTTGAATGAACGTGAACGTGAACGCGTTCGTTTGAAAAAAACAGGAACGTGAACGCGAACGAGTTCCTTTTTTAAGTACTGAACGTGAACGTGAACGAATTCATTTTTTTAGTGAACGTTCCGAACACTGTTACTAGGTACGCGCTCAAAGTGTCATGTTAAGCATAGTTTGTGCGTAGTTATTATATAATAATTATTATTGTTCCCTAGTGCTAGTCTACATTTATACCAATGACGTCAGTCACTCGGTGGGCCCCGTTAAATGGCCAACACAATAAAATAATAATTTTTGAATAATGTCACTATACCACCTTATTTATTAGGGAGACAGTTTTTATTAGAAATTGCCAATGAAAATAGTTTCACATGTTTGCAGTGAAAATATCTTGTTAATTATTGTACGGTTGATGGCGATTACAAAAATCATACTAATTATACACGTTAATGTAGGTATGTACCAAGCATAAAGTAAGTACTTATAGTACGGCCAGCGAAAAGTGAGCCGTGACTGTTATGTTCCTAGTGGTGTATTTAAGCTTAATCGCATATAATTGTGGAAGCCCTGATGACATTCGGCCTCCCGGAGCATTAGTATCGCGGCTCACTTTTTGCTGGCCGTACTATAGTACTTACAATAGCTCAATAGGTTGTAAGCAGTTGGCCAATATAAGTATAAAGTTTTAGAACTGATTAAGATATTGTTTTGAAGATAATTGAGTGTTATAAATTATATTGATTACTGATATTATTTAAAAAATAAAATATTTTATTTTTTGAACGATTCTCAAGAAAAGTACCTATATTACACACTACACACAAACATCTATCATATCTAACAATTTTAAACAAATTTATTCTTATAAGTTTATTTATGTCAAAGTTTTGTACATTGTTGCATCGCGACACCCTAGTTGATAACCTCTGTGATAATAGATTATAATATTACCGACAGAATTTCTCCTGTTAAGTGTTTGTTAACTTTAACCTTACATTGTATTAACGACCCTATTACCCTAATAATATTGATAATAAAAACTAACCATGCATAGTATCCACATTTTTAATTTCCTCCATTGCAGCCATGCATAAATAATTATCATCTCAAACAGGTCCAAAATCACTCAATTGCACATTCAATGACCTAGCTGGTACATCACTTGAGGAGCTATTTCAATCACGTTTGGCATGGGATAAACAGAGGGAATACGTTTATAATCAAGAATTATAAAATGTGATAAATCGGAATTTATTCCAAAGAATTTCTCTGTGAGAAATTTCAGTTATACATATTTAATTTAACTGTATGTCTTTGCTTGTTATGATGATTCATTCTTATTCTGAAGCTTAAACATCAAGGTTTTCGTATTTCTATTGTAGAACAGTCAATAACTATTCTTATGATTTGCAAGGATTCAAAACTCTTCGGCATATTTGTTGTGTTTTTATCTTTGGCTTAGGTATTTCTGACTCTTAAATAACTGTTAAATGTATTGTTATACTTATACTCCTTCATGTTTCATGACAAATATCTGCATATTTCAGGAGAAATAATTTAAAATAAGATCGAGATCACGATGAAACTGATGTAAGTAACATTTACTAAAGAAGATGGTAAAATAATTGTAATTTAATTAATGTAAAACAGTAATTTGGTATATAGTTCCTAATAATAACAACAGTGATAGTATTTTGTATAAAAAAATATACACAAAAAAAAAATGAATATAAAACAACAATGGGTAGGTACCTATAAAGTTGTCAGATAAATAATAGAAACTTAAAACATTTCAAAATTAAATAAAATATATAAATTAATAAATTTGATTAGGAATATTTTGTAGTTTTGTATTTCATGTAGGTTATCTGTATGTAAATATAAAGTAAGTTTTAAGTACTATCTTCAATGGCAATATATAAATAATAAGCAAGAAAATATAAACTTTTTCGTTGAATTTTGACACCAAAAATAGCTTTCTTGATGAATACTTACACATATCAATGGTTTTTCATGTATTTTATTTAATTATTATATTATTGTATTAATACATTTTAAGTCTTGAGAATATTTTTAAAAAAAACATTTATTTACATAAATATACAACTATTGAATATTAATGAGCTTTTGTAATTGCAAAAAAACATGAGCTGATTTGATATGATTTTATTGGCTATCAATTTTTAACATTTTGATTAATTGTATACAATTGTTTACCTACTTTATCAATTTGCGCATATAGATGGTTTGTCAAATGTGTTGATGTGCTTATACACTGGTCGGTTTTAATTATACACCTGAATAAATATATGATAAATTATTTGATTAAGAATGTTTTAAACCTCTGGCATGAACATAAAATTCTGTAAGTTTAAATTGTCAAGTATGAATGTGTTAGATAAATCTTGGAAAACTGAATAGGCATAACAGCCTGGAAGTCCAATATTGTTTAACTTGTATGTATGGCCACTGGGAGGCATGGTGTCCTGCAAGCTTGAATGACAAATATAGATTTGAATCATAATGATTTATAAGACTAGCTTTTAATGGCTACAGCTAAGAAATTCAATTATAGCCAGTGTTGAAAACTATAATTAGGATATTAATACCTACCTACATATATATGTGTAAAGTGATGTATAATTTCAGATACACATATATGTGTAAGCAAAAATATAACATGTTATTATAAAAATGTATAATAAACACATTACAATATGTTATAGTTAAAGCGAATAACTTTTGTAGTTAAAGCTCTTGCTATTGCTCGAAAGAAAAAAACCATGAGAAAAAAATTACCTTTATTATTTTCAAGACTTACATTTTGTAAAAGGTCAATTTTATTTAGTGTTAAAAGAAATTACTGTTACAAGAAATCAATTTTTGAAATTTCAATTGAACCATTTTATGTATACCTATTTATACTTAAGTTAATATTGTAATTTGCAGACATAAAAATTAATACACATCATAAGCATTTAATTTTTTTTGAAAAGAATTTTGTATCTTAAATACTGATATTATTGCTCAAATGAGTGTATCAAAAACAATAACTTAATTTTTAAATTTTATTCATATACATATAACCAAACATCACAAATAAATATTAACTATGTAACTATGTAATCAGAGTTTTTATATTATGTACTCTTTTCTAAAAGACACAATGTGGTAACCCTACTCTAAATTCAATTTCTCCAATCATACTGCAATGATCAAAACTAATGATTTAGAAATTCATAAAAAAATTTTCTTTTTACACCTAAGATTTAAAAAATTAATAGAAAATTCTTTACCTACCGGAACGTTAAATTAAATTTTTATGAGCGTTTGAAGTTTACATTTTTACAACATTGGATATTCACTCGATTTCTCTTGTAGCAATTTTCTTATTTTGTTGTAATTCAAAAACGAATTACTGTAGACACTTGAAATTTACACCAAATGTTTTATCAATTCATATAGTTGATTAAATTTTCAAAATATGCTGACTTGTTTTAGGCTGTTGGCGGAGATTTCCATTTTTTTTTCTATAAACGTCAATAAAATTGTATTGGTTTTGTCAAAAAGCATGACAATTGAATACAAGACTCTTGATAACTTGTTACATTAGCAGTTAAACAATTTCAAAAATACATAAGTACGATTTTTTTTTATAAACAATTAAAGTTCAAATTTTGACAATATTTATCAAGTTTAAAATTGAAAATGATTTTGTAGTTAAATATGTATAAAAAGCTCAAATTTTATAGGTAAGGATTGAAAATTGAAAACAAGGTTTAGCAGTTTTTTCCATAACTAATAAATCTAAAAATATATAAATACAGTTATTTTTTACAGACATTTTAAGTTCAAATTTGGACAA